AAAAAAAAAAACAGTGTTCCCCTTTAAGGGTCTTGCTCAGGGACCCAGAGTGTCAGTCTGTGGGGATCGAACCGGATACTTGCAACCTTCTCAGAGCACAGAGCGCCCTCCTCTAACCACTTTGCCAACTCTTACACTCATGAGTCTATATTACTTTCTAAGTCTATTAATTGAACAAATAAATTAATTTGTGCCGATATAAACATGCTTATGAACATTCACACATGCCTACACATGTCTCCATTATTACTCATATCCCACAAGACCACAACCTTTACAAAATATGAGTACACCCACCCTCAGTAACCAATTCCATTCAATTCAGTTTATTAATATATCTCCAATTCACAACACGCGTCATCTCAAAGCACTTTACAGTTCAACCAGATCATCCAATCAAATTGAATCAATGTTTTCTATCTACAGGAAACCAACTGATTGCATCGACTCTTTAATTCTTCAGCTATTTCTCACACTAAGCATGCTTGTAGCGACAGTGGAGAGGAAAAACTTCCTTTTAACAGGAAGAAACCTCCAGCAGAACCAGGCTCAGTGTGAGCGGCCATCTGCTGAGGCCCACTGGGGTTCAAGGAGACAGAAGTTGTTTTAAACCAAGAGAATTCATTGATGTTCACCGCCAGGTTTCCATTTTAAATCTTTTTAAGAAAAACATTTTTCCTAAACAGTCTCATACTTGAACATTGCTTTAAGTCAACATAGTTTTTTTCAGCCTTTGAAACCTCTTATTAAAATACTCTTTTTGTCTGCTTGATCACATTAGGTTTTTACATTTTTATGATCTAATCTCCCTCTTTCTCTCAACAAATAGTTTTCGTTTTTCTGTTTGTTTCTTGCTCTATAAATTAATTGTGAGGCTTAAAAAAATCTGCCAGATCAGAGAATTTAAACAAGCAGGAATGAATGAATAATGGATTATTGTGGTCATAATAGTCAGCTTGATCAATTATCCCGATGGCTCTTTTCTGCATGCACTTTTAATGATGTCCTATAGATGTTACCTCAGACTTCAACATAGCTCAGATATGGTAAAAAATCATTAAATAATAAAGAATACGTTATTCTTTATCATTCAGAAAATGTTTTGTTTTACTAAGAATTGCGATGCTTCTATATAATTTATTCTGGACATGATGAGACTCTTCCAGCAGATCTTTTAGTCAATAATTACACCTAATAATTATATTTAATTAACTTGTTCTGACTTTACCCCAAATATTTTGACTTTCCCATTTCTTTTAGAATTTGGAAATAAGATGAATTAAGTTTTTTCCAGCTTCAAGGATAATTTGATATTGTCAAACTTTCTTTGTAGCTCATTCATCTCTGATGTGATTCCATCCAGGATCTTTATTTATTGGTGCATTTTATAATTTAATAGTAAAAATAATGTTTGAATCATAGATTAGAGCAAACATTTCAGCCTGTGACCATAAAAAATAACAAAGCAACAGTCTGGAGATCATCTAAAAATAAATATTCACTTACTTCCTTAACTCTGGTTTAAATTATATTGAATTTTAAGGAAAGGAACTTTTATTACTTATTTAATTCATAATTCAAATTTGCTTTTATTTTTAAGGACATTTAATTATTCAATTGGACATTTTACAATTTAATATTTTACATACATTTATAATTATTAAATCTGCTGCACTGCAAAAATGATCTAGAAATAAGTACAAATTTCTTAAATCAAGTGTAATTTGAGTAGGTAAATGAGATAGTTTGCCAA